GGACGGCGAGAGCCCGGCCACCCCCGCCGCAGTCAGCGGGGGCCCAACTCCTCCCCCAGGAGCCCCCGACCCATGGGGAGCCCGGAGACACTTTAGAAGAACTCGGTCTGCGTGACGTCTGCTCAGTCAAGACCAATGCTTCAGCTAAATCACATTTTACTTTATTTAAGGGAAGCTGTTCCCTCTTCCTGACTCTCCCCAGAAGACGCCGCGGTTTCGGCTCCCGTTCCTCTCAGATTAAGGGAAAACATCAAAGAACAGGACACATTAAAATCAGGCACCGGGGCTTCTCCTTACGTTGTCCTTGATGCCTCGGCTCTTCAGCTCCTGGATTTCCGCCATCAGTCTCTGCAGCTCCTGGCAGGTCTCTCTGTAGAGCTCGTAGTCCTTGATGGGGTCACGGAGATCCACCTCGCACTCCTCGCTGTAGTACCTGACATCCTGCAAGGGCAGAAAGCGCCTTCTATGGCTCGTTCCTTCCGCCTTCTCCGGAAAGGGCGCTGGGAAACAAACTGCTGGGTCTCGATTCCCGCCTCCGTCCGTTAATCCCACGCCCGAGGAGACTTTACAAGACGGGAAGAGGACTCGGTTAACAATCCTGGACACAACCACCACCAGGCATTAAAACGCCTGGGGAGTTCACGTTGCCTCTTAGAGAGTTATCGTAAGTTTAAGCTGGCGTCCGTCCCGCGCCGGGAATATCCGAATTACTACAGAGGATAAACTGGGGAAGGTGACTACTGCTTCGACCCCAGCCCGCACTTCGGCTGGACCCAGGTTACCCTGCTGCTCCCGGGGGTGTTTTAAGGCCACCTGCAAACCCCCGGCGGGACCCTTCAGCCCTGTGCCCGCTCTCCCCACGTCTCAAGAGAAAGGTTTGACTCCCTGAACGCTGTGCTTCCCGAAGGAGACGGGAGCAGGTTCGGAAGTTCAGATCGGGAGTTTCAGAGGCGCTGGGAGCCGGCTCAGCTCTGGGGGCTGGGGAACGGTCCCACAACTTCCCGAAGGGGAGAGTACGGCCGGCAAAAAGCGGGTGTGAGAGCGGCCCCCGGTA